GTTTTGTTTATTTCTAATTAGTTGATAATGATTGCTTAGTCTATTAGGAATCAAGTAATCATACTCTTATCAATGTTTAATGCCACATAGTAATAATAATAATAACAGTAAATTTACAAAATAATGTTTAGTTTTGAGAATGAACACAATGTTGATCAACAATATTTTAAATGAATATGTTGATAGGAAAACGGTTAATCAAAAATTGACCTGTAGTAATAAAGTTAATAGAATAGTTTTAAAAAAACAATTGTAGAGGTATCATAATCGTGGCGATTTAACTTTGTAAGCATTTATAAGTAGTATGTATATATGTATGTAATATCTGATTGACATTTGTATTATCTATAATGATTGAACCAAAATTATTTTCAGTGATTCGATCACTTCATTTTCGTATTATTAGGGAAGTCAAATGGGAACCCTAAATTCTACTACTAACAGATCATTTCTTTAGTAATAACTATTTATATTTTTCTGAAGGAGTTTGTAGCATCCAAATATAAAGTTTTGGCTATATATTCAAATATATATCTAAGAAATGTTGATTAGTGATTACTAGTGGAATCTAAGTCCATCTTTTCTTCTGTTTTTTTTCTAAGAAAATTGGTTAAATTTATGGTAGTATGCAGCACTCATCCACGAAGCCAGTTATCAACAGTAATTGATCAATTTAGTATTAAATATGAATGACATTAAAATAAGAACTTACAGTTTATTAAATAGATTAGTTTAATATCTTTCCCTATTGTAGTTTTAATTTGACAGTTTTAAAAACACCTCTCATCTGATTGTTTGGTTTCAGCATAATATAAATACGATAATGTGATTTTATATAAAGTTTAACGTTTCCTATGAAAGCATGTTATATTTAATTGAGTTGCTCATTTTACATCTATGCACCAACATAATTGAATGTTGGTAATAATGAATTCATTTTGTTGCCTTGACATGGTCAGTAATGGTATTTTTTTTATTTTCTTCCTTAGGTTTTCAAAATTACATTATTTATTTGACTTAAATAAATATGTAGTCAGATTAATCAAATTACTAATATTATTCAAATGAACTTCATTTTCTGATCTCAACTTATAAAATACACTAATCATATACTTCTTTTAATGTTGTATCCAATAAAGCATTGTAAATAAGTAGCGAAATATACACACATATATATAGTAAACGATTATAAATATTCATTGGTAAATAATTTTTCTATTATAAAATATAAATCTTTAATAGTTAATTGAGTAGCATATTCAATCTAATATTTCGTTAACTTCCATTTGAAAATCTCGAAACAAAACTTTTTGTCTGATTTCTTTGATCAATTGATATGTTTTGCATTATTTCAGCTTATTTTGAAGAACTACAACTATAGGACTAGAATTGCCTTTTAACAGTAACAGAATTACTGACCCGTTAGACTAACTAGAGTGGTTGTTAAGATTTTAAAAAAGATTATTCGGAAGGAGTTGTTTAATTATCTCGATGAAAACCGGATCCTTTCTGAAAAGCAGTATGGTTTTAAAATAAGTTATTCCTGTCTCATTAACTTACTAGTGGCTCGTGAAAACTGGTGCACTCTTAAAGCTTTTGAAAAAGTTTCTCACAACCGGCTGTTATATAAGTTAAGAAATGTCGGGGTTGGAAGCAGTCTATTAATGTGGCTAAACGACTTCCTAGCTTGGCGCTCACAAAGAGTACTGGTGAACTCCAAGTTGTCTAGCTAGGAAACTGTGCTTAGTAGACTGCCTCAGGGTACAGTTTTGGGGACAGTGTTATTCCTCTTGTATGTAAATGAAATTTCTTGTCTCTCATCAACATCGGTCTTGCTATATGTCAGAATATAGAGAGAGATAAGAAGTTAAAGTGGTAACTTAGAACTTCAAAATGACCTGGAGAAATTGTATGAACTGTTTCAAACTTGGCAGTTACCGATAAATACTTCCAAGTGTATTGCGATGTATATTGGTCATCAATGTACATAAACGTATATGATGAAATAAAATTGAGCTATGTGTTGTCCAGACACACAATGACCTGGGAGTAATCGTAAGCTAAGACTCAAAAACTACTGCACACTGCCGTACAATAATCGCCCAAGGTTTTAGAACCATATGGTCAATATCTAGAGCCTTTATTCATGTCGACGTTAAAACTTTTGTATACAGTATTCGTTCGTCCTAAACCTGAGTACTGACTACAAGCAGCTAACCCCTGCTTAAAAATGTCAGTGAGCTTCTCGAAAAGGTTCAGAGAACCACAACTAAGCTGATTCTCGAAATCCCGAAGCTCTTGTACGATTGGTGACTGGATAAACTAGATCTATTTCCCCTGTCATATAGAAGAACCAGAATTGACTTGATCATAGTTCTGAAATTACTCAGTAATAAATTTGCATTTAATATAACCTGACTTTTCTTGTCTTGCAAAACAGAGGATTTATGAGGACACTCAAAAAATGTTTACAAGCCAAGAGCAAATGAATTGCCAGTTGACTATCGATTTTCCCATCAAATCATCAACAAGTGCAATTTATTACATCAACGTGTGATTGTAGCTCCATCTGTTGACGCTTTCAAAAGAAAGTTGGATCAACTGAGAGACCATTATTGAGAGGACTAACACAGGCAACTTAGCCTCCTGTCTTTTCTAGACTAAAACTGAAGCGGATCTGAATTGTAAAAATATACCTTAATCAATAAAGTTTTATGATAAGGAGTTTTTTGAAAGAAAACCAAAAGATGATTGGGAAAGAGAACTTTTTTCAGTCCATTTAATTTAAGTATTGAACATCAAGACAACACACCATAAATATTTTTTGCAGTGACATATAATAGCCAGCAGTGCAATCCACCATATGCATTTTGTCTTACGTGGGACTCGTCAGCTGGATGTACCTGCATACTAGAGTGAATTTTTCTAAATAAATACCACTGAGTCGGCATACATCGGTGTTAATGTTTAATTTCAACAAATCCATGATATTGTCGATCTGAACTCCATTATTAATATCATTTCAATTTTTTTGATTAAAAAATGTAAACTATTTAGTAAGTATTTAGACAGTGAACTTTTAAATTTTATGGTAGTTCGGTCGAAATAAAGTCAGAAAAATATTCACATGCCATTTTAAAATTATGATCATCCATAAAAAACGAATGTATGTAATGAAAATTCAACCATATAGTCATTCTATGTCAATAAATTTTGTTATATAAGTACATTAATGATATTATCATAGCTCTGAACAGAATTACCTTATTTCAGTTAACTGGTTGAGCTAACTGAAACGACAAAAATTTTATCGAACGAATAGTTTAAACTTAGATGAGGGGTACGTGAATCTACACAAATCTGATCAATGTTGAATTGACAATAACCTCAATTACTCAGTCTTGTGTCAGCAATGAGATTCGAACCCACGCCTTCAAAGTGAACTGGGACCTGAACTCATCACCTTGGACTGCTCGATTATCCTAACCATAATAACCCCAATTATTTAGCATTTAATTCTTAACATTAAAACAATCTTAATTCAATGATTTCCAATATTCTTCTCTCATTCAGACTTTAAAATGAGGTATTTAAGGCCGTGAATTTACGACAAAACATATATTTTTGCTAGTTGTTAAAGTGTTATCAATAACTATGCTGAAATAAACTATACTAAAAAATAAATCAAATAACACCATGAATCAATTCACAACTCATCGAATAACAAGATTATGATCAGCACCAACTGACTAGTATTGAACTGTAGTTTTTGAGCACAACTATAATACAATAAAGTAGTTCATTTCAGTTCTTAATTTTATGGAAGACTTATTAACAGTCATTTCGATTGATCGTTTCTATTTTAAACTCATTGGCAATAGTTAACATCTTCAGGACACAAATCATAAGCCTATATACTCTTAACTTTGTATTGTTGTTGAGTAAGTGATTGTGTGTGATGACTCATACATAGAATATTTATTTATTCAGAATATTGTGATAAATGCATGTTCTCATAGTCTCATTCGATAAACGAACACAATAGTACACATTTTACATACATCATATCATATATGCTTTATGAAAGTATCAAAATGGTTAGAATGAAATTTAAGAAGAATTATGTCCATTATCAGTTTAAGATATGAGTGTATTATTTTGTGTTTGATAAATATCATGTCAACAATAAACACGTTATTTTCAAGTAAATAACTAATAATCACGAGAAATGGGTTGAAATAAACAGATGATAGATTCTTATAATGATTATATATATATATCAATCCGTAAAGAAAATATTATTATGAATGACCTACATAAGTAGAAAGGGTATATTCTGTTATAAATAATCTTATACATACACACACACATTTAGATAAATATTTTTCATTTGACTTATACTTAGATTAGTATAGTATATAATTATATATTTTCTATCACAAATATAATCTCAGAGGAGAAAAATGAACTCATATATTTGGAGGTGGGATTTTTTTGAGTTAAAACAAATTGTAGTTGAGAGGGTTAGTAGTTGAAAACTCCATAAAAATAATAAGTATATTAATTACAGTTGAACCAGTTATGCTTACAACTATTAATCACTTGGTAATAACAAATGTAATATTGTGCAGTTATTAACACTGAACGAAGTCTTTCGATTACTTCGTGAAGTTTCTTACTAGATTAAGTCATTGGGTATTACAGCAAAATGTACTCATTATTAGCTAAAAACAGTCGATGAAAACCCTTCGGTCTAAATTCCATCTTAGTTAAAACTAGTCAGCAATATGTATCTGTGAACCAGATACTGATGCTATTCATACAGCTCGAGCATTGATACCTCACTATCATTGTTCGTACTAGTGAGCTGACCGATTATCATAATTATTAGTTGCGTTTATGAATAAGCTTAATGATATCACTATTCTTATAATATAAATATTAGCTGATTAGTGAGATTATTTTATTGTTATGTTGATTCAAATTTAGTTTATTTATATTGTAGCGGTAAATAATTCCCCAAAATCAAATAGCTCTGTAAGTTTTCGACATTGGATGCTGACCACAGTTTTAGTGGACTCATCTAGCTGAAGGCGCTCGGTCAAGCATCCGCACCAGATCACGTGTGGGAACGCCGTGCTCAACATCTGCCTCAATCGCTAGCCAGATTAGTGCAAACGATCCTCGATATATTGATAGCTTATCAAATATATCTTCGATCTCCTCGCTTCTGTCTTTTGATTTTACTTGGTGGGTGCGCTTCGTATTAGAAGGTGTTACTGGTTAAAGCGTTGTCAAACTCCGAATACCTGTGGCATCTTCATTGGTGAGCCCGACGTGATCTGGTACACCATATTGTAAACTGTGAGTCTGTTCCTTTTTGTGATTTTATATATCATTGTCTTATTTTAATTTCTTTTTTTTTACATTGTGATATTTTTTTTCCGTGTTTTTGGGTTCATATATATATTTGCCACTCGTTCACTTTTCGTACTTGGTATATTACTATGACTGAACAGACCCCTAAAGTATTTAAGTTAAAGACTGTGTCCCCACCCTCTTTCCAACTTATGCCTTTCTGGCCAGACAACATCGAAGCCTGGTTTTGTTATGCAGAAGCCGACTTCTACGAGCACGGTGTGAACGATGCGCGTGCACAATTCCTCGCAGTAGTCAAGGCACTACCGCGCGAATTCAACAGGTACGTAACACCTAGTATGTTTACTAGTGATGTTTCTGATCCATACCAAACCCTGAAACAGGCCATCCTTAAACGCGGAGATCTAACCGATCGACAAAGGTTAGACCAACTCCTTAACAACATCGACCTGCAACACGGTTCTGCCACAGACATGTTGCAAAGAATGCGAGAAGTCATTGGCCAAAGAACCTTCGATGACGGCCTATTCAAGCAACTTTTCTTATCCAAACTTCCTCAACAGGTGCAAGCTGTTTTGGTCTCGTTCCAAAACAACGCTGTAGACGAACTAGCGGCATCTGCCGATCGCATTCTCGAGATCACTAGGTCTCCTAACGCCGAGGTTTTTTCAGTCAAAGAAAAGCCTCAAACGACCCAGAATGACATAACACAGTTATGTCATACACTTACGCGCTATCTCAAACTCGGTAACGACCGTAAACGATCACTTACTCCGCGGAGAAGCACATCACGTAGGCGATCTGTATCTAGAACTCGAGAGACGGATAATCCTGATTGGTGCTGGTACCATAACCAGTACGGAAAGTCTGCCAGAAATTGCAGAAAACCCTGCAATTTCCCCAACGCGAAATCCGTCGACGCGAAGAACGTTTCGGGAAACTTCCAAGCCGGCACGCGTTAACGGCGACCGTAGCCGGCGAACATAGCCGTCTTTTATATGTCACTGATGTGATAACGAGAGTTCGCTACCTCGTAGATACTGGCGCAGAGGTTAGCGTTCTCCCAGCGAATTCCGACGACAGGCTACACGAGCCTGTTTTAAATCTACAGGCGGCAGACGGAAAGCCTATCGCTACTTATGGCCAAAGGTATGTTTATCTTAACGTGGGTTTACGCAAACCCATTCACTGGATTTTTGTTGTTGCAGATGTTTCTATGCCAATCATTGGTATGGACCTTCTACAACACCACAACTTAATTATCGATACGCGCAAACGGAGGTTAGTAGACGGAAACACTAATTTATCTGTTTGCCTGACTTCTTTTTCTGGTTGCAGGTTATCCCCAGTCACTATTAAGCACACTATAGACCCCTTCTACCAACCACTACTCGATAAATATTCTGGCATTTACCAATCGCAACCGAAATTGCCGTGTGTAACCAGCAATGTTACACATCACATCACGACTACAGGACCACCTGTCTTCTCGAAAGCACGCCGACTGGCCCCCGAAAAGTTAAGGTTGGCGAAAAACGAATTCGACCATATGATAAACTTAGGAATCATACGACCGTCAAATAGCCCATGGGCATCTCCGTTGCACATGGTCCCTAAAAAGGACAGCAACGATTGGCGTCCAACTGGTGACTATCGGAGATTGAATGCAAAAACCATTCCCGATCGTTACCCGTTGCCCCACATTCACGATTTGACAGCTACCTTGAAAGGTGCAACTGTCTTTTCAAAAATTGACTTGGTAAAAGCTTATAACCAAATTCCTATGGCCACTGAAGACATTCCAAAAACCGCTATTATAACGCCCTTCGGACTCTATGAATTTTTGCGAATGCCTTTCGGTCTGAGAAACGCGGCACAGACTTTCCAAAGGTTCATAGATGACGTTTTTCGAGGTCTCAACTTCGTACATGCATACGTTGATGACTGTCTAATAGCAAGTCCGGACAGAGAATCACATCTCCAGCATCTGGACATTGTTTTCGACCGACTACAAAAACATGGCATTACCGTAAACATTCAGAAATGCCAAATCGGAACCGAATCCTTAGACTTCTTAGGACACACTATAGATGCGCATGGCATTCGACCCCTTAGAACGAAAGTGGCGGCCATTCTGGATTACCCAGAACCGACCACCATCAAGCAATTGCGCACGTTTAACGGTCTGGTAAGTTTTTATAGACGATTCATACCGAAATGCGCGTTACTTATGAAACCCCTTACCGACCAACTTCGTGGAAATGCGAAATCCATTAATCTAGATGACACTACCCGAAAAGCATTCTCCACGGTTAAGGAACATATCGCCCGAGCAGCAATGCTTGCTCATCAGGACCCTAAAGCGCCCATTAGCATCTCAGTAGACGCATCCGACTCAGCAATCGGAGCAGTCTTACAACAATGGGTTAACCACTCCTGGCAACCTTTGGCATTTTTCTCTAGACGGTTGCTAGACACTGAATCGAGGTACAGCACATTCGGTAGGGAACTCCTAGCTATGTATTGTGCTGTCCGGCATTTTCAACACTATATCGAAGGCCGTGAATTTATCATTTTTACCGACCATAAACCACTTACCTTCTCCTTAAGCTCTTCTTCGGACAAGTACTCACCACGTGAGTCTCGACAACTGGACTACATTTCGCAGTTTACTTCAGATATTCGACACATTTCTGGAGCAAACAATGTAGTTGCAGACGCCTTGTCTCGTATAAATTCCTTGAACAGTTCCCAAGGAATCGACCTTTTAAAACTCGCCCAACTTCAAAAAGAAGACAGTGATCTTCAGCACGAGTTGGCCTCAACAACACTTAAACTGCGCATTAAACAGATGGGAACAGGTAAGGAAACCTTACTTTGTGACACATCTACAGGTAGGGATCGCCCAATCGTGCCGAAACAATATCGACGCAACGTCTTCGATACGTTGCACAGACTTTCTCATCCAGGTGTTCGTGCAACCATCAAGCTTATAGCAGAACGGTTTTGCTGGCCTGGTATGAATAAAGATGTGAGGGAGTGGGCACGCTCCTGTGTAAGCTGCCAGAAATCTAAGGTTATTAGGCATAACAAATGTCCCTTAGGCTCGTTTAAAACTCCCGATGCTCGCTTCGACCATGTTCATTTGGATTTGGTAGGACCTTTACCAGATTCAAATGGATATTCTTATCTTTTAACATGCGTAGACCGTTTTACTCGATGGCCAGAAGCAGTACCCATCAGAGATATTACTGCTGAAACAGTGGCCCGCGCCTTCGTCGAGAGGTGGGTAGCAAACTTCGGCTGCCCAACAACCATTACTACAGATCGTGGACGTCAGTTTGAATCTGAACTGTTCCGTTGTCTGACCATGAAACTAGGAATCACTCGCTTTCGAACGACGGCCTACCACCCACAAGCAAACGGGTTAGTAGAACGTTTTCACCGACAACTAAAAGCGTCACTATCAGCCTCAAACATTTCTCAGTGGACTGACGCTCTTCCACTCGTCTTACTAGGCATACGCAATGCAGTGAAATCTGACATTGGATACACTGCATCTCAACTTGTTTATGGTACGACCCTTCGACTTCCAGGAGAGTTCGTAGACCCTTCATCCTCTTCGATGGACATGGATCTAACCTCCTACGCGAACAGGCTTACAAACGCAATGCGTTCAGTTAAACCTGTTTCCACTCGACCACAATCAACTGATGTTTTCGTTCAACCTGACTTACTACATAGTACACACGTTTTCGTGCGTCGAGACTCGCATCGACGACCTCTCGAATCAACATATGAAGGACCTTTCAAAGTTCTTCAACGCGAATCTAAGTACTATATAATAGATAAGAACGGAACCAACGAAAGCATCAGTATCGATCGCCTCAAAGCAGCGTATATAGAAGGAAATCCTATTCACGTCGATTTTCCTTCAATACAATCGCACGACACAACTCCTGCGCTTATAATGCCTCAATCGACAGCAGACACACACGTTGATACTGCGACAGTATCCGAAAATAAACTCAAAACAACGCGTTCTGGAAGAAGAGTAAGATTTCCAGAACACTTGAACGATTACTGCACGTAAGACACAAGTTAACATTTTATATCCCCTCGATTTTCCCTGGTACTATATATAATTTTTTTTAAAAAAAAAAACCTGAATTTAATATGCTTATATATTATTATTTTTTTTATTTCAAAAAAGAAAAAAAACAAAAAAATAACGATATTATAAAAATCTTATTTTACGCTACTACGTGAGCATGAGTTTGTTTTCCTTTTTCTTCGCCCGTTTTGTGTTTTCACGCGCGTACGAGTGTTTTCCGACATGCACTTACATATTTTTCTTTTCTTTTCCAGGACGACTGGAAAAGACGATGAAAAGAACGATGAAGTTGCGAAAAACGAAAATCTGCATTGTACCTTTTTTTACTATATTGTACATCATGGTCCATTATAGTAAGGAAAGACGACCAGACGCTGCTAAACCTAGCAAGCTATCAGAAGAGTGTTTACCAACGAAAATCTCGTTGGGTTTAAACTTCTGGCTGGCCACGTCTTAGGGTCATCACTACCCCACTAGGGGGGGGAGTGATCTGTAGCGGTAAATAATTCCCCAAAATCAAATAGCTCTGTAAGTTTTCGACATTGGATGCTGACCACAGTTTTAGTGGACTCATCTAGCTGAAGGCGCTCGGTCAAGCATCCGCACCAGATCACGTGTGGGAACGCCGTGCTCAACATCTGCCTCAATCGCTAGCCAGATTAGTGCAAACGATCCTCGATATATTGATAGCTTATCAAATATATCTTCGATCTCCTCGCTTCTGTCTTTTGATTTTACTTGGTGGGTGCGCTTCGTATTAGAAGGTGTTACTGGTTAAAGCGTTGTCAAACTCCGAATACCTGTGGCATCTTCATTATATGATTACAGTACTGATGATATTTTGAATGTTTAGATTCATTTGATTAGTGTTGTCATGATAAAACATATTCAACGAATCACAATGTTATAGTTTTATAATAGAATATTTTGAATAATCTATTCAATTAGTATGAAACCGAATGATATAACTGACTAAAATATAACACTTTTTAGATATACTCATACTTACAATGTTTTCTGTTTGCGCATTAACGTGATTCAGTCATTTGAAGTTTATATTTTTCCGACGAACTGGTTTATTTTGAAGATGGGTATTACTTTGGATAAAGCTTGAATGTGGGTGTATTTCATTCTTTTGATTAAATATATATATATATATATATATATATATATATATATATATATATATATATATTGAAATATGGATTAATATCACACATAAAAATGCTTATTAATGTGTGGCGTTTGTTAAAAAACCCTTTGACAGTTCATTTCATTATTATCATTTCTTGAAAACATGTATGAATAGGCTGCAAATAAACTATGAATCAAATGATACCAATTATGTTCCTTAATAAATGAATCGTTTTACTTATATTTTAGCATAACATTTTTACATTCAACATTTTATATTATGCTCACTAGTGATAGTCTCCTAGAGGTATTTCCCAGAGTTCTAGTGAGAAGCTGTGACAAGTGGAGTTCAACCGGGTCTGTTGTGAAATAGTAACTGACTGAAGACAATTGTAAACGGTAGCGCAATTTCATGGTTTGGTCGAAGTTAGACATTAACGCCATTGGATGCCGGTTCGGTAACTTAGAGATCCGAGACCAATAAGTCCTAGGTCCGAATCTTCAGAGGCAAGATTGTGGATGCACACTTATGAGGAGTCCCATACTAAAACGAAGCGGCCATCCACTGCCTCGAGGTTTTCCATGGTGGTATAGCTTCAATTAACTCATGAATTTAACTAATAAAGTGACTTAAAAAACTTATATTAAGTATTGGTTTTTACTTTTTCGATAATGTTTTACAATAATGACTTTATTCTACATCAAACTATATCAAATACTTCCTCTATTAATTTAAAAGATAGTAACTAACGATTTTTGAACTTATGGAACTAGTTTCTTTAATTAAATTCACTGTATAAAATGGTGCATGCAATAGATTTTCTTGCCAAAAGCTCAAATACTCGGTCATTAATACATGAAACTTAATTCATGTTAAATTTTATCCTGAAATACAGGTAAAGGAAATTTAATTTATTCTGTTGTAAAATGATTTAATTTTTTTTTCACATGGATTTTTCTCTTTTCTTCAAGTCACCTTGATCGTTAAACTTTTCCACTTCATTGAATGATTCACTTGATAAATTATATTAATTTTGAATTTAGAAAGACGTTTCTCCTTACATTATATGAATACTTACAATTGATTGATCACTGGGTGGTGATCATTTTGGACTGAGATGTACATGCACGCAATTCGAGTCACCTACACAGGTAGCCATATTGCAACTTAGTCGATAGGATTCGATCTGCAGTAAGATGGACTCGACATACATGACATTGATCAACATACAGTGATCGATCAATTGTAAATACATCTCAGTTTTACTGGAGGTCAGTCGTGGCTCGTTTAGACCAGTGGTAACGTCTTTGACTGCGAAGTTGGGTGACACGGGATCGAATATGTCAGGGAGCATTAGTTTCTCCAAGATTACAGATATACCTTGGTGATGAGTGCTAAGTAGCACGAAACCTAGGTCCAGGATGTCCTGTTGACTACTTTCCACAATCTTATTACATGAATATTTTAGCCACCATTTATTCACGATTTTATGCTATACAAGACTAGAAAAGAAATTTAAGCTATGATGAAGTGAACTAAACATTTTGGTCTGGGAAATGTTTATAATGACTTCGGCTATATTGTATCATAAAGATCAAGTATATTTAAGGTAAATGACTAACCAAATTACGTTCCATTATAAAGCGTTACTTTATCACTATACATAGACTAATCATTTATTGATAGAATCTTTAATAGAGTATTTGTTTTGAATTTGGTTTTTATAATGACTATACCAGGATATCTACGTACCATAAATAGTATTAAAACTAATATTATTCTTGTAACAGTAGATTAATTTACAAATTTTGAGTTATGAAATTAGCGTATAAGTAGGTATTTCAAGAATGAAATAGAATTGGATAATTTGAAGAATGAAAATATTAATAATAAATGAACTATGCAAGCTGCTACAAAAGTGTCAGATTAGGCGACAGCAGTTACGTAAAAATATGAACGATAATTATACAAAAGCAAACAGACAACAAATCCTATTTGAAAACGAGGAACGATAGATTTTTGAATCGCTTTCAACAATTGTTTTCATTGAAGGACAAGTTAGTAAAATGTATTAAACAGTTTTCTTCTGAAGAAGAAATTTCTGTATGCCATTAAAAGTTACAATGGCTTCTACAACAAAAATCTTTATAAAATAAATGGAATGAGATAAGTCATTTCAAAATCAGTATTCAGATAAATTGGTATCTTATACTTATCAGGGGAGCAAGTATAGAGCACTTGATCACCGTCAAGTGTTGTATACCTTTTTATATGTTGTTCAGAAATTCGGTGACCTGTTTACTTATTTGTGGTCTTAATATAATTGGCTTCGGAGGAGAAACCGAAAGGATTAGGACTCACAAAAGATAGACAATAGTCTTTTTTATCACACTTTGGGACTGAACGATAGTAGAATAAAGCGTAAAACTTAGGTACAGAGAGAGACAAAAATAAACAAGATGAAAAAATATATAAGAAAAACACTTCTGTTAACAGCTTTTTCTTGAACGTTCATTAATTCAATGTTTCATAAACCACTACTTCACTTAGAAAGGTTAAGAAATGTGTTTGAGCTATGTAGATGAGTCTGTTGTAGAACGTTTTCTTTTACTGAGTCATAACGCATTCGTAGATTGTTAGAAAATTATATTTTAATAATATATAATTATTACATTGACAATCAGCCTATTAAGTATTTTCTCTTGTTTGAATAAAACTAAGATAAAAGTAACAATATAACAACTCGACATTAGAATATAAGATGATCGTTCATCTTTAATTGTATTAGGTGTGGTTGATTTGTTTGTTACTGAGTATACATTTTTACGTGACTTATCTTTTCTGTTATATCTGAAACTTGTATTCTTGATATTTTATTTGAGACCATTAACTGATCAATGTTGGACCACCAATGAAAACCTGTGAGGCAGTTACTCACTGGAGAAAATGGTGGACGGTCGCACAATTTTGTAGATCCGTCGAAGTTAGACGCTAACACTGTTGGATGCCAGCTCAGTGGTCTAGATATTTAGCGTCCATGAGTGGGACTGATAAGTCCTGTGTGCAGGATAGTGGATGCACACTGCTAAGCAGTGCCACACTAAAACGAAACAGCCGCCAAGTGCTTCCAGGTTTTTAACGGAGGTCTAACGTTGATTATTTCATGATTTTAATTAAAAACTCTACAATTCTATACTGTCAATGATATATATATATCCAGCCATGAGATTTAAATATAAAACAAAGGCAAACTCGCTTTTTTCTTCGCCCAAGTTTTTGGTTATGTTGATAATTAGTTGGTAACATGCAAACTATCTTTGTACTATTCTATTAAGACACTTTGTGAAATAACTGGGCTTTAGTTTTTAGTGAAGGTTATGTTTAAAATAAATCTAAACAGAAATCAATGATTTGGTAATAAAGGTGAACCTAGTTCATACTGATATTTTCACTCTGCTTCAATTACCAATATTTTTCATTCATTTTCATGCGAATAAGAGATATGAGTTTGTTTCCTTGTTATCACACTGATTATCCTGATAGTTTTTGTCCAATATAAACCCGTTATTATTATCAGGCGATAGGATAAAAATTAGACTATCAGGCAAACCTGGTATTACCCAAAATGAACACCTTAATATTTGTTCAAATGATAATTTCTTCACAAACCCCAACGAAGCCAGTTTTATTTAGATTATATTTAAAAAGGATGTGTATGAACAGTTAGAGGAATGCCTTTGACAGTATTGTCTATCTCTGATTAGGAGGCAAATAAAGATATATACTCATAAATCATCGTTGAATGATATTTGTTTCACGAGATTATGGATAAAAGCTGAATACTTTCATAAGGTCATTCGAAAAAGTATTCATAAGGATTACAGTTAGTATTTAGGTTAATCATATGAAACAATCTTGACTTTAAGCAGTTGATTAAAAATCGAATAACGAGCCAAATAATTAAAATGAGAAAGTTTATGTATGGGTAACCAATCTGAGAGAATACAAGTAATTAAGTAGAATGGAAAGTTTATCTCCTTTTGCATTAATCTTTTAAAGGTGATTGTTTACTTGTGTTTATCATAATCGTAACAGAATGTGAGAATTTACTTATATGAAGTTTAGAGAAGTTAGTGATTAACATGGTGAATCAGTAACCAATTTTCTTTATGCTGATGAATATTGATTGTACTTAATAACTTAACCTTTGGAAATGAGTAACATTTAAATTACGTTTAATAGTGTAAACTATGCACAATCGTGAAGTTATTTATTGAAGTACTTTCTTAAATACTAATTGTATAAGCAGATCCGTTAGTTTTCTAGCAATTGAAACGAGATATTTAGTATTTTGTTGAAATAGGTAAACCTTTGACTTGACAGTAACTCTGGTCATAGAGTGAAAAAAGTATTATTGTGACGTAATTGTTTTATTCTAAATTATGAGACGTGTAAGATGATTTCAATCGTAGTTTGATGGTTTAAAGAACAGGAGTTGGGTTGATTAATTGCATGTTCATTCAAGACAAGGAAAACATTTCGTTGAAATCTTTCGAAAACATACTAATAGAGCCAATCAATAATTTTATTTCATTAAAACGCATTCAGTGAAGAATTTCTTATTTAAAAAAAATGAATAACT